AGCAAGTACCAAATCCAGTTACTATGTAATGTCTTTTCATGTAAACAAAAAACATGCTTTACCTTCCCTGACTTAGTCAAATCCTTCATTTCCTATCTCTCTGACTCCCCCTCCTGACACTGCAGATCACAGTGGCAGTGCTGCCAATCCAGACAGCAGTGGGCAGGACTAGGTGTAGCCAGGTGCTAATTGACAAGCTTCAGGCTTGTAAATTGGCAGTGACAAAGCTAGTAGTGACGACTCCTGCACACATTTTACCCATTGTAGTGCAAGCAGAGGCGGCTCATGTGAGAGTGGCAACTCTGCTCCGAGTTCCAGAGCAGTGCAGCATTGTTGTCACACCATCAAAGGAAGCTGCATTAGGTGGACTTCACTGGCAGGATCAACAGGTATTTATTGGATTTTGCATTGGGACGAAGAGAAAACTGGAAGTGCAGACTTTTACTTTGCAGCACATATTTATTTTACTGAAAGGCCATAGCTCTATATTAAATGAGCAAAGTTAAAGTAAGAGAGGAATTGCATGAGAAAAGTACATGTGTCTCTAGACAAGCTAGAGAGGTGGTGGGATAAGGTGGGGAGGAGATGCATTTGTTTTATCATCAGTATCCTAGATCATTTTATAGGAGACCGAGTACTCTGATCTGAAAGTGGCTAGTATGGTTTTTATTGTGGTCGTTTAAGAAGATAACGGTACATTTCTTTGGTAGTTCTTGCTACTAGAGTCTCTGTCACTTGAAACTTCAGAACTGCTGTAACAATAGTATTGTTTTCTGTAAATGATTGCGTTTTTCCTGGTAATGGCAAATTTTTTGTTTTTACATTTGCTTGGTAACAATTTGTAGTGCAGTACTCTTTCTGTACCACTAGAGGGTGCTGCTCTCCAGCATGAAATGCAGGGAGATCATTTGGAGTGGACCAAGTTCCCAGTTTTTATGTTTATTGTTCACTTATTATAAATGCCACCTACATTGGAAGGAAATGTCTAGATTCTGGGCAGGAAGGTCTCTAACATATGTTTTAGTTTTGTTTTACCTGAACGGTTCTATATTACTTTTTTTTCTGTTTGTGTAGCTTCACCTGCTGTGTTGGTAATCACAATTATGTATTCAATTTGTATTTAAGAAAAAATGCTCCCTTTTATGTTGGTCAAGTAAGAGGAAGAAAGCTCCCTTACATTGGTAATCAGTAGGAAGAAGAATAATCCCTTATGTTGGTGGTCAGTAGGAGGAAGAATGCCTACTTCTATCCACTGACTACCCACTACCCATCAGGCAGAATGATCCTGTTCCTTGTCGCCAAAATGTTTATTTACTACTTGCTTGTTTACTGCATGACTTTTTTTTCAGCACAGGGCAACACATAGAGCATATGCAGCACTGTGCTTTAAGGGCCCTTCACACTGGTGCACTACTGGATTCTACCCCCTACACAGTGATCTACTGCTGTCTTCCACCGGCACATGACACATCTTACAAGCTGTGTAGGGACTGGATGCATCTTCCTTCCAGGCAGCAGCGTAGACATTTAGTGCTCAGGGTGGGCAGTAGCGGAGGCACTTGTAGGGGAAGGCTGCTGTAAGACCTTTGATAGCAGGACACTAAGAACTGGGGATGGCTGGACAAGCAAATAGAGACGACATATGAGAGAGCTCGAGTAGGTGTGTATCTTGTGTGTGTTTTGCATGTGTGTTAATGTGCATGTGTTTGGCCTAGATCACACTAATGATACTGTCTGTTGGTGACAAGTAACAGGATCACTATACCTGACTGGTAGTAGGTAGTCAGTGGAGAGAGGAGGGCATCCTTGCTCCTACTGACCACCAATGTAAGGGAGCTTTCTTCCCTCTGACCACCAACGTAAGGTGCATTCTTCCCTCTACTGACCACCAATATAAGGAAGTATTCTTCCTCCTAGTGACCACCAAAGTAAGTGAGCATCCTTCCTACTACTGAAAGTCAAAGTAAGAAGGCATTTTTCCTCCTACTGACCACCAATGTAAGGAAGCATTGTTCCTCCTACTTGTCCACCGTCAGGGTGTGTTTTTCCTCCTACTGACCACTAACGTAAGAGATCACAGATCTTCCTTTTGACCACCAGATATGGGAAGTTTTCATCCTACTGACCACCAATGTATGGGAGCATTCCTCCTTCTGACCACTTAAGGGAGCATTGTTCCTTGTGCTGACCACTAATGTAAGGGAGCAATTCTACATTCTACCTTCTACTGACAACCACTGCAATTCTTACACTGACCTTGAAAGGGAGTGTTATTTATCCTACTGGCCACCAGTGTAAGTGGACATTTTTAAAACTAAATTTGTTATGGTAGCAAATATATGCTGTAGCTCAGGACCCATCAACTTGATAATTAGGGTGTTGTTCAATAGTGTTTTATTTTTTCTTCCTGCTTGTTGAGGGAGCAAAAAAAAAAAAAAAAGTTTTCTATGGGGCCCTGTGAGTTTTAGTATCACCCCTGACCATAACATTCATTGCTTAATTTACAACCAAGATAATTATGGCTATAAGATGGGGGCAAAGTTGAAGATCAGATGATATTGAAAACTGTCTGGCCAGATGTGATTTGTGAGCTTTCAGTTGCATGAAAAAATGTGCAGTCACTTTCCCTGATGTAAATGTCTGCACATTGAATGAGGCCATACCCCATATGAAGACATGGGCTTTTTACTCCCATGTTAGTTAGGAAATCTGTGTGTGGAATTCCTTTTATAAAATGTAAAACACTCACAGACTGAACCCATACCAAGAAGCTGCACAAAACCACCTTTTCTTTCTGACATTAAAACCTTCCCATCTCATTTGTGTGATGTCCTAGTGACAGATATACTGTAGTGTCAACATTACCTCTGGTGTAATGAACAGGTCATGTCTCAATAGGAAATGGTTAGCGTTTTTGTGGGTTATCTTCTTTTGTGTTTTTTATTTTTTTTATTTTGATCAAAATGTATAGTGCAATTATAGTTCTAATACGGATTATGGCATAAAATATCCTCCATATATAGTGAGCAGCATGAAATGCCAATTCTCTTGCTAAGGACTATTTTAACAGAGGGTAAAGCAACTGCTTAATGTAAGGAATATATCCCAGGAAGATGGCATAGTCTGGAAGATGGAATTTGTAATTAGAACAGCACAGTGCTATTTTGCCTGAACTTTGTTGGGTTTTCGGATGACTTGCAGGAGAAATGGAAAATTCAGATCAAATCAAATTTAAGCTGCAGTTTTCTTTGAAGGAAAACTTATCTTTCTAAAGTTCTCTATATAATGGAACTCAGACTTTGAGCTTGTAAAGCTAGGCCGTGGCCTTCCTCTTGTGCCTCATTGTTGGCCAACGGGACCACCTACCATAGTTCTGGACCAATAGTCCAGATGATGTGCGAGGGAACAAACAGTTAAAATTAACAAGCTTGAAATCTGAATTTAAATTAGAGACTATCTCTGTTTCAAGGTTCTCAAGACACTTTAGCAGATATACTGTACATGCAAGCCCCTTTTGGTCGGTACTCTTTGCAGTTTAAGAAATAGTATTGTCACAGCAGGTTTACTTTGCCGTAACGTCTGATTTAGAGCTGAAATTTGGGGACATTTATTGTTTGAATGTCACATATAGTTATTTTTTACAGGTAGGTAGGTACTTGTGCCATGTCATCAATGTGCCTTGCGCTATTTTGTGTTGGAGGATTCTAAGGAATGCTTATTACTGAGGGGCCCATTCACACTTAAGCATTCATTTGTGATTTGTTAACACAAGTTGTGTTAAGGCAACCTGTTCACTATGAAATGGGTGCCAATGCACCACAATGGATAAAGAGAAACCCATATGATTTTTAGGAACGTGGTGCACCATGCATGGAACTCTACTGTACAGGGTGTCATTCACAATGAATGCAATGCACCGCACATAGAACAGGTGCATTTTGGGAACTTGTTGTAACATGCTCGTTTTATAGCCTGTTGCATCAATACTAAAGTCTGAATGGGCCCCAAAGATCTCCATTGATAAGCTGGTGGTATATGTTTGTCACCCTCTCTTAGACTGCAATTCTAGTTGTGGAACATAAACAAAAAAAGGGGGTTTTTTTCTGTCCATATTAGGCCCCATTCACACCACGGCGTTGACATTTTCTGGTAATGTTTTGTTTTTTAAAGTGTTTTTAAAGCGTTTGTCAGGCATTTAGCTTTAGGCATTTTTCTGTTTGACCCAATGGAAAGCAGTAGCACCTGTGACATCATGCAAAAATGCCCCTGAAAAACGCTTAAAACGCTCAAAGCCGCCTGTGAAACGTGTTTAAAGGCGTTTCCAATGAAGTTTATGGGGACGAAACACTCCAAACTCCTGAAAAGAAGCTCACGTTTTTTCTCAAGCTACCAGCGTTTTGCTAGAAACAGAGCACTCAGGTGTGAACCTAAAAGGCCACCACAACAAACCTATTCTTCAGTAAAAGAAACTGATGCCTTGATCATTGTAAGTGTGTTCTCTCATTGATGGGCTCTGTAGAGAAATGATCAGAGCAATGTTAGTTCATGAAGTCATTAATAATGGAATTATTCATTTGTATAAAACATTATTTCCACTTCAAATCCCGGCTTTATAACCTTGATCCCTTTACCACTTTTACCCTAAACCCTTGCGCTGAGCTGATCTTCTTGTTTTGCAATATATTTTGTAGCCATTACACATTGTACTCAGGGAATTTTTTGGTTGGAACGATCTTTAAAGTTTCTAATTACCTTGGCTTACTAGCACTTATTTCTTTTTTTATTTTTGTATGATGAATAATTTGTATTTTTGAATTAATCGTTTCATGTTACACTTTACTGAAACCGCACTTTTGTCTGTTTTTAATGAAATAAAATATTTTACAAAAGAAATCAAATTGTATTGTCATTTGTCCCTGGTGCACGGTGCCAGTTGAATGCTTTGTTCCTGTCCTAGCCATGTTTGTTTTGTTAATCACCAAGTGATGTATTATTTGTAGGGCTGAGGCTCGACTGAGGCGGCAGAATTCAGAAAGTCGGCTTCGTCCACTGAGTGCTTTTGCTGTGAGGGTTAGATATCTGTCCAGGCTTGGAGCACAGGTATGTATGTCTATGGTATTACAGATGCCCACTAAAGCTATATGTATCAGCACTTCACTGGATGGTTAACCAGTACATCCTATTGATCCTGTATGTTTATTGAAGTCCAGCATAGCTATCAAACCCTTCTGGGGGCCTTAAGGATGGACAAGTAAATGTCAATCTGCTACAGCCAGATGACTGCATGACTAAGATTTGGCCATATACAAGGTGAATTGGATTCTGTGGCATAGGCAATGTGATCCAGCTATGGTGATAAGAAAACCAGCAGTAGTTGGCTTTTGAAACAGAAAATGCCATTTGTCAAATTCATTTTTGAGACCTGCATTTTCTGGTGGTAGGCTAAAAAATTGGTCATTTTTTTTCTACCTATGTGTCCTCTGTGCCTCTGACAGTCTTAGTGTATGAGAGAGAATTGAAATAATAGCAGCCATTCCTCCTCAGCATTTTATTCTAGCACTGGTGGCAGCTAATGGTGAGCCTTCCATGGACTAACAATGATCATAAAGCATGGGATACACAGCTAACTAATTTTGCTTGTTTACAAGATCAGCTACTTTGTATATGTGTGTTTATTGCAATATAAATGGGTAAGCCGTATTAGTCCAGTATATATCCAGTCCAGTATCAATATAATCATGGCAAGATTTCTTTTGAAGTTCTCTTTTAGGAATTTTAGGGGGGAGTTTTTATTGCAGACCTTTACAAAACAAATGTAAACATTTAGAATAGCTTACTATTCTCAATATTGGACTACGTTCCTACGACGCAAAGTTCATTATATTTAAGGGCATATTTATAAAGCAGTGAATGGGACATTCACTGCAGTTGTATTTTTCTGCTGAATGTATGTTACATTACAGTGAATGATTGAGGTGCAGTAAATGTTTGGAGTATGTCATATTAACCGCTTTAGAATTATGCCCCTTAGTGGTGTTTTTTTACCCATTCATCAAAGGTTGATCCAGAGGAAAGCAAATCAAACATTTCTGTGTGATGGTTGTCACCTTAACTTTACAAGGAGAAAAATTGTTTGGTTTTTGTCCTGCATCAATTACTATTTCATTAGAGGTACTCCAGCCACAACTTTAGATTTTTTCTTTCTTTCATTTTCGAGTGCATGGATAGGGGTTTAAACCTCAGACATTCCTTACCAGGGCGAGAAGAGGAAATGTCCCCAATGGAGACATAAAAAACCCAAAGGGTCTAATATTTCACTTTACTAAAGAGCGTTTGTAATGCTGTGATGGTGTTGAAAAGATTTTCACCAACTTTCTCTTCTGGTGAAATAAAGTACATGTAAGGTAAATCTTTCTAGAGGACATATGATCCAATCCTTCCCCACTATATCAAAAACTAAAATGTTGTGTCTGGGGTTCCATTTGATGAGCTGTTTAACCATATACAGCTCGTCAAGCTTAAACCTATAAAAAAAAAAAAGGGACCCAATTATATACAGTTCAACTAAGCTAGGTGTATACGGTTATAATTTCCTACAAACGTTTATATGTAAAATCTCGTCAGAACATTTGAGAATGCCATCAGAGACTTATTGAATGCTGTTCAAAATTTTGTTTGTTTGATCTGATGGAGTTTCCTGAACGGTAACCACATTCACTGTTAGAATTTAGTTTGTTGAACAAATATTTTCCATCCTGCTCCCTCTATTTTTTTTTTTTGTTACTACGGTTGAAATTGATTGTCAAATTGATCTCTTTAACTCTTAGAAAATCAAACCAATGTTTTGAAAACTCATTTTTTCTAACAAAGTTTTCCCCGTGTATTTCCATCTTCAGCAGAAAAGACATCGATATCCTTGTTTGTTTTTAGTTTATCCGATTCTGCTTTCACAGTGTAAATATATTGCAGTATGTAATGCAGGGTGTACATCATTTTATCATTTTGAGGCTGCACCTTCTATATAGATCTTGCATATTTTATATTTCCAATACATTTATACAACTGTCTTTTTTTTTTGTATTTTTCTTTTACAGCTGCCAGATCATTACTGCAGTCACTTGTCATCATTGGCCCACAGAAGTGTCCTGAAATAAGGAAACGCAGACCTACAAAATTTGAGTGTTTCCTCTTGGATTGGTTTGTGGTATTACTGTGGAATCAGTTTAAAATTTGCCTGATGGGTCACACTAAACCTTCTGTATGAGTACAGGGCAGTGTAGGCACGGAGCATGTTACCATATAGGACACATTTTTACTGCAGCGGTGCGCCCCTAGTATAAAAGCTCCATGAGAGACTGCCCTTGTATATTAAACTTGGAGACACCTTACCTATGATACCAGAACAATAATCATAATCTGCAGGTATGATTCTCTCCGTTGTGTATTTTTGGAAACCTCTGTGTCTGAGTGAGGTGGAGGAACTGAACTACATTCAGATGGTTTTAGTGTTGGCCACACGTGAGCTTTTTTTTTTTTTTTTTAAATAGATGGCTTCTTTGCCATTTGTAGTGTTAAGTTCTCATTATACGGCAAGAAAAGTGTTATGTCTCTATCCCAGTAAAGCAAGATATCTGCTAAAGACATTAAAGCCTAAATGATTAGTCCTTGGCTTGTAGAGGTCTGATTCCAGACTCTCTAGCTCCCTATATGAACAATGGCATCCTATTCAACTCCAACTACTGCCACCATTACTCTTTAAGGTCCCTTCATACTAGGTGGTCTGTTGTGGTCCATTTAATGTACGCGTGTGCAAGTTAAACCCCACTGTTTTTTTTTGCACAGTTGTACTCCTCTCCTGCACTGAAAATGCTTACTCTTTCTTTTGTGCACACTGTCGGGGAAATTTATTAAAACTGGAGCAGTTGCCCATGGCAACCAATCAGCTTCTCTCTTCAGTTCAGTTAAGATTTGAAAATGAGAGAGAAGCTGATTGGTTGCCATGCACAACTACTCCAGATTTTGTCTGCTCCAGTTTTGATGAATCCCTCTCTGTTTTTCCGTGTGCATTAGAAGCTGCAACAAGTCAGATCGAGCCCACTTCATTTCCTGTTCATTCGGCATCATCTAGCACATGGTGTCCAACTCCAGCCCTTGGGAGCCAGTAGCTGTATGCATTTATTATTTACAAGACTCACATCTGTTCATATTGAAATCCAGCCTGTATGTGGCTGCCAAGGACTGGAGTTGGACACCCCATAACCTTAGCCTTTTCCTTTTCAGACTGACTGTCCCTGGCCTACCCATTTCATTCATTGGATTTGATTTCCTTTCAGACATGGAAGTAGCTGTATGCATTTATTATTTACAAGACTCACATCTGTTCATATTGAAATCCAGCCTGTATGTGGCTGCCAAGGACTGGAGTTGGACACCCCATAACCTTAGCCTTTTCCTTTTCAGACTGACTGTCCCTGGCCTACCCATTTCATTCATTGGATTTGATTTCCTTTCAGCCATGGATACAGCACCCTTGCTGGCCCCTCCCCCTAGCCATCATCTGTGTGCATAGCATAGAGACTCTGTGGTGACATTACAGGGTTAAATAATGTAGGTAATAGAATAGGTAAGGCTTGATTTTAAAGATGTAATTGGCATGTTAATTAGGGAAGAGAGGAGGAAGCGGGAAAGGCAAACATAAGCGTATTACACTTCAGTTTAGGGCAACCCATTAATTGGCAAGGGCTGCCTAACACACCGCAACAGCCCTAAGATCATACCTGCTGCATTTCCTGTATTGCAACACACCAAAGTTTACAATGTTTTAAAAAGACTTTGCTTTGGAAGGAAAGATCTCTGTCATAGAAGGAAGAAAACTGTGACATCCTACCAATCTCTCCTGTCATGGCCTTTTGCAGGGTCATGCTAACAGGCAAAGCTTCCACACCTCCTATGTGTGCAAAAGCTTGCCTGCCCTTTCCTGTCTCCTGCATTGTCCAATGATAGTGAGGAGTCAGTTGGAATGCTTGGTGACTGAGCTTAGCAGCAAGCTCCAACCAAGAATGTTTGGAAGGCTTCTGCAGGTATGCGTGGACACCTTGAGTATCTGGACGTCATACCTGTAGCTATTTTGTTTTTCTCCCCATGACAAAGATTTTAAGCACCACTACACCTTGAAGAATCATGGTCTTGGTTTCTTGTGTTTTTCTTAGATATATATATAAAAACCAATCAGCTTCTCTCTTCAGTTCAGTTAAGATTTGAAAATGAGAGAGAAGCTGATTGGTTGCCATGCACAACTACTCCAGATTTTGTCTGCTCCAGTTTTGATGAATCCCTCTCTGTTTTTCCGTGTGCATTAGAAGCTGCAACAAGTCAGATCGAGCCCACTTCATTTCCTGTTCATTCGGCATCATCTAGCACATGGTGTCCAACTCCAGCCCTTGGGAGCCAGTAGCTGTATGCATTTATTATTTACAAGACTCACATCTGTTCATATTGAAATCCAGCCTGTATGTGGCTGCCAAGGACTGGAGTTGGACACCCCATAACCTTAGCCTTTTCCTTTTCAGACTGACTGTCCCTGGCCTACCCATTTCATTCATTGGATTTGATTTCCTTTCAGACATGG